GATGTAGGGGAAACTAGATACTTGAAATGCTGGTGTATGTGTAGCCTGTCAGTGGAGCGTGAAGAGAAGGTAGAAAAAGGCATGCTGCCAGAATTGTGCCTGAATTGTCCCAGTGTGGTTTAGCCACGCGGAGAGAGCTTTGTTGTTGGAATCAGAGGCGAGCCCTCATGGCCTCCCCTGTGGCTACATCTCCTCCCCCCTTACTTTCTCTCTCTTTCCCACTCTCTCTTCTTCTGTCTGCCTCTCAGGGTCTCTTGCCCAACTCTCGCGAGCTGACCAGATGCCTTTTGGACATTGACAAGGCTAAGCACCATGTTGATTTGAGCCCTGATACCTCACTGAGCCTGATAAGAGACCATTTCTCCTGGTCAGTCGATGCACCTTAATTCCTGTTAAGGTCTTTGGCTGTTTAAAGAGCCCAAGAGTAGCAGCCCCAGAATCATGATCAGCTCAGTGTTGTGGCCAAACACCAAGTGTAAACAAGACACCAAGAATGAAGGAAAGGAGAATGAGATGAATGACAGTCTCCTAATGGAAACATTGAATCTCCCTAATCATGACTATCAGTCCCCAGGCACTGAAGTTCAACAGAGCTCAAAGGTCATGCTCGTTATATGCATCCCATCTGAGTGTTGTCCTGGATGATGCAAGAATTAACTGCTTTTCCTTTCAAGGTTATGTGTACAGATACTGTACAGTAGCAGAGCTGTTGGCACGCAACACTGTTTTCCAGGCTGGTTAACTACAGTAATCAGACTCTACTGAAAATGCATAGCAGGTGACCACATGCAATGTTCCCTAAAAAAGAATTAGCCACTAAGCTAATTTCAGGTCTGCTGAGCTCAAACATGAACATTGTGAAACTTCTGTGCAACTTCCGACGCGCGCGTTTACTGTGAACACTGGGGCTGTACCCACTTTAATTTACTGTTTTAACAGTGGCCAAGTAGGCTACTGTGACTGTGACCATAATGTAGGCCTACCAGAGTGGCCTACCATTTAAAAAAAACAATGGAGATAATGCGTCGCATAACATTTTAACATGGAAATAGCGGTTCTATCATTCAGCCCACAGAAGCAGCCAATGTGTGGTGTTCAATGTAGGCCTGCATTCCATGAGACTTTTGAAAATAAACATGCAGGTCTTGACATTGACCTGTTTATCCACTTGTCCATCAGTTAAGGAGGTGACTGAACATGTTGTTGTTTGATGCAAGAAACCACTTTACAAAATAAAATGCATTATTATTCCCATACCATTATTACAGAGAATCAGACAAATTATGCTACCCTCTGCCTATTGGCTACTTAGCTTATTCAAGCCTGTCTCAAAATACAACACTGCCCCTTTAAGACTCTTTACCTGGCTAGAAATGTTCATGTTTTGTGCTCTTGTAGGAAGCAATCAGTCCCAGGTACCAGCTATAACTGGGCTAATAACTCACTAACTAGCAAAGAATATGAACAAATGTACCCACGTGGCTACTGGCAGTTCTCGCTTTGATCTCAAAAGAAGCGCATAATAATCGTGACCGCTCATGCTGTAAAACAGTCCAGTTCAAAGTGAACGGCACAAATCCATATATGGCAATGGTCGATTTGCCTACTGCAGCTCTGATTGCACACCGGTCTGTGTAGAGTACGGGCCTGAGTCGTGCCAGTCAATGTAATAGAAATCCTACTCCGATGCGCTCTGCCTACAAGAAAATCTCTTGCGTAGTTTTGCATACTAATTATTGCGTAGTTTGTTTTGTTTCGGTATGTTGCATTGAAAATGACTATTGCATTGATTCGATCACAATTCCTACATTAAAGGGAAACGTTGATAGTGTTAAATAACGGGGAAAACTCTAGAAAGTTGAGTGAAGTTCTATCTCGTGCTTCTCTGCGCATGCTGATATTTCTTCTGCGTGGCAGTTTAGAGGGAACATTGACCGCATGTATGTTTTTGTGTTATTTGATGGTGCATCAGAGCACCAGAACAGATTATTTTTCTAAATTGCCTTAGTAAACCAAAATGATCTGTCAGAATTGTGTAATTTGTTCCCCCTGAACTCTTTCCTTTTTTTATCTGGCCTGTGATCTTATCGAGATCTGAGGCAAAAATTCAAGAATGTATACAAGACCACTTGTCTTGATGGATTTAGTTTCAGTAGAGAGAATAAATACAAAGTGAGTAGAGGGTATGGAAACAGTTTTTAAGATGAGAAAGGATTATGGGATTCGTCATGTTTTCCATGTTGAGAGGCACTCATAACGTCCATGGATACGTGTATGGAAGTTTGAGCAGTACAGTATGCCTGGCTGACCCCGTTTTTCAGCCAGCTGTGGTTTTGGGAGCTGCTACTGTAAGCGGCTTTGTTTTGTGGCTGAGTGGCTGCAGAGCAGGTGCGTCCAGACCAGAGGACCCCACATGCAGGCCCAGCTCTGTCCCCCTCTGAGGTGGTTTGTTGGTAGGCTGACTCCCTCCTTGGAGCAGAAAATTGTCGTCTTCTCCTGCACAGACCATTAACTAACTCCTTGCAGTTGAAACACTTGGCCAAGGCCATCCTTTCCCTTACATTACCATCACAACTGAGGCTTAAAAACAGAGGCTAATTGCAAAGCATTCTTCTACCTTTTTTTTCTTTTCTTTTTTTAAGATACCGGTAAGTGGATGTTTTATCTGATAACCCTCATCAAAACAAATCACTCTGGCCTTTCTCTACCCCATAATGGCAAAGGTCTGTTCAGTAGGACCTGCACTTATTCAGAATTCTACACAACGTTTTCATTGTTTTCTATTTTCATTATTGAACTTTTCTTTTTTTAAAGGACATTCTTTATGAGAAGATAATATATCCACCACACCGGGGTTCCAAAGACTGTGTGAGAGAGAGAATTCCTCTACTTTGTGGTTTGACGTTCATTTTCAACATTTGCTGTGTTTTCCTTAGAGAACCAGGGCATGGAGGAAGACGATGAGTAATATAGTCTAGTACTTTCACATTTTGGATGGACTGTTTACTGCTCTGTTTGTGTAGAGGCCTTCCATACATTTGCGTTGTTTGAAAACCAGTTCAGACGTTAAGTAATCTACATTTAGAAACACTATACCTTTGAGGTGGACTAAATGTTTGCCTCTGCACATATGAACTTTGTTACACCTCACCAGTTATAGTAATTGTTTTATCCTTTATGTATCCCATTAAATGTTGAGATATTTTAATGTCTGGAGTGTATTTGAGCCTAGCTAGGTAATGGCAATAACAAATGTTCATGTTTTATATTGTTGAGTGAAGAAATCCGTGCTCTTACTTGAAAGTTACCCATTTAAAATCCAGACTTATTTCACCAGCTGGAAACAGTTTAAAAAATGTTTTTGTTCCAACAACAAAACTTGTAAGTTTGCCTGCTTTTGTCTGGTGGCTTTGAATCTATCATACACATACACTTCCTCTCGTTTTCAATACAATTACAATGCTGTACATCCAATATTTGGAAATAGAATAATGATGATGACTATTCGTATAGATTTGGAAACTTTAAGAAAAGAACAGTATCATTGCTATGACCTGGTCAGAAATACACAATATATACAAAAGTATGTGGACACCCCTTCAAGTTAGTGGATTCGGCTATTTTAGCCACACCCGTTGCTGACAGGTGTATAAAATCGAGCACACAGCCATGCAATCTCCATAGACAAACATTGGCAGTATATGGCCTTACTGAAGAGCTCAGGGACTTTCAACGTGGCACCGTCATAGGATGCCACCTTTCCAACAAGTCAGTTTGTCAAATTTTCTGCCATGCTAGAGCTGCCCCGGTCAACTGTAAGTGCTGTTATTGTGAAGTCGAAACGTCTAGGAGCAACAACAGCTCAGTCGCGAAGTGGTAGGCCACACAAGCTCACAGAACGTGGCCGCAGAGTGCTGAAGCGCGTTGCGCGTAAAAAAACGTATTTCCTCGGTTGTAACACTCCCTACCGAGTTCCAAACTGCCTCTGGAAGCAACATCAGCACAATAACTGTTCGTCAGGAGCTTCATGAAATGGGTTTCCGTGGCCAAGCAACCGCAGACAAGCCTAAGATCACCATGAGCAATGCCAAGCGTCGACTGGAGTGGTGTCAAGCTGGCCGCCATTGGACTCTGGAGCAGTGGAAACACGTTCTCTGAAGTGATAATTCATGCTTCACCATCTCGCAGTCTGACGGTCAAACTGGGTTTGGTGAATGCCAGGTGAACGCTACCTGCCCCAATGCATAGTGCCAACTGTAAAGTTTGGTGGAGGAGGAATAATGGTCTGGGGCTGTTTTTCATGGTTCGGGCTAGGCCCCTTAGTTCCAGTGAAGGGAAATCTTAACACTACAGCATACAATAACATTCTAGATTATTCTGTGCTTCCAACTTTGTGGCAACAGTTTGGGGAAGGCCATTTCCTGTTTCAGCATGACAATGCCCCCGTGCACAAACCGAGGTCCATACAGAAATAGTTTGTCGATCGGTGTGGAAGAACTTGACTGGCCTGCACAGAGCCCTGACCTCAATCCTATCGAATACCTTTGGGATGAATTGGAACACCGATTGCGAGCCAGGCCTAATCGCCCAACATCAGTGCCCGACCTCACTATTGCTCTTGTGGCTGAATGGAAGCAAGTCCCCGCAGCAATGTTCTAACATCTAGTGGAAAACCTTCCCAGAAGAGTGGAGGCTGTTATAACAGCAAAGGGGGGACCAACTCCATATTAATGTCCATGACTTTGGAATGAGATGTTCGATGAGCAGGTATCCACATACTTTTGGGCATGTGTAGTGTATTTAAAACCATTTTGGGAATGGGTAGCTAGATTTACATGGAAATTAAGTTTATTTCCACCAGAAACCAATCTTGCTCCCATACACCTCTGACTTGATCAATCACACACTCCACTCTTGATAATTTTAATATGGCTGGTTTGACAGTTCGTTGAGCGATGTAAGTAAGCATGTGATTAATCCCTTAATGAGTCCCCTCTGTGATGTTCCTGAGAGAATGTCACAGAGCTCAGAGTAGCACCTTCACAAGGCTGTACATTGTGTCCCTCAACCTGGACTCCCCAAAGCCTGCTTGTCTTGGCTTCACCGCCAAGGAAAGGCATGGGGAAGGAATGAGAGGAGGAGGGGCACGGTCTATATCGGTTCATATGAACGGTCTCCATACCACTGCTGGGCAGTTTGATGTGTCGAGGGTGTTTATTTGGTCATGAAGCCGACCCGCACAACAGTGTTTTCAGTTGTTGTTGATGTTGGGAGGTGGGTGATGCATGTTGCATAGGAACATGTTTCAGTAACCGCATTATAGCAGTGGTCACATTGGAGCCTGTCTCTAGACACGTCACTCAGTCAGAATCACCTTTTCTAGAAAGGACACTGCTCCACAACTACATATTAAGACATGTAATGCTCTAGCTATACTGTGGGCTGATAATCCCTGAATTATTCAGTACACATGTCTAATACAGTGGGTTCAAAACTTGGGGTTGGGTCCCCTGAAATTGAAATGGGGTCCCCTGAGAATCTGCAATCTTATCCAACAAATTAATAACTTTTTTTCTCTTCAAATAGGTGTAGAATACAACGTTTGTGTCAACCTCTTACAATAACTTCTTACACTATTAGAATGTGATTTAATGTAATTATGTGTTTTATGCGGGATGTAAAATGTAGTGAATATGAATACACAGCATTAAAGGGATACTTTGGGATTTTGGCAATGAAGCCCTTTATCTACTTCTCCAGAGTCGCATTAAGTCATTGATACCATTTTTATGTCTCTGCATCCAGTATAAATGAAGTTATAGGTAGTTTCGAGAGCCAATGACATCTAGCATTAGCGCAATGACTGGAAGTCTATGGTATATACTAGCATGCTAGCACTGCAGTTACATAGACGTCCAGTCATTGCGCAAACGCTAGTTAGCAATTGCGCAAAACGCTAGTTAGCAATTGCGCAAAACGCTAGTTAGCAACTTCCTTCAAACTGCACGCAGACACAGACAAATGCTATCCATGAGTTCATCTGACTCTGAAGAAGTAGATGAAGGGCTTCATTGCCAGAATCCTGAAGTATCCCTTCAACTAGATATGATTTTTCCAAGTTGGGTTCCCAGCATTTTCTAATGTCAGTTTACAACTAAATCATCCATGAGGGCTGATGGCACATACTGTAGTGGTGATGTAAAGGTGACTGGATCATGGAAAAGTATTTATCTATCTAGGCCAGTCATGTGGTATACTCTGTGACTCATACCTTTTGAGCTTGAGAGGTGTGTGTGCGCGCACGAGTCCGCAAACATACCCATTACATTGTAACCACTCCCTTTTTAAAATCGACTGACTCATGAATGACTACTGTATATGACTCCCCACCAAACCAGCAGGGCGGCAGGTAGCTTAGTGGGTAAGAGCGTTGTGCCAGTAACCGAAAGGTCGCTGGTTCTAATCCCCTAGGTGTAAAATCTGTCGATGTACCCTTGAGCAAGGTACTTAACCCTGAATGCTCATGTAAGTCGCTCTGGATAAGAGCGTCTGCTAAATGAGTAAAATGTAAAAATGTAAAATGTAAATTTACAATCTCTTATTTCCTTACACAGACACGTGATGACTTTCTGGGGCAGGTGGACGTACCTTTACACCAGATACCGGTGAGCCTAGTGCAAGGAAATACTTTATTTAGCACTTGCATAATGTATGTGGAAATCAATTCTCCTAAATCAACATTTCCAATCCCACGTCTAAAGGAGTAGGCTAGTCTGTGCTGTTTGGTGTTCCATGTTCTCCTTTAGATACAGTGGGGGAAAAAGGTATTTAGTCAGCCACCAATTGTGCAAGTTCTCCCACTTAAAAAGATGAGAGAGGCCTGTCATTTTCATCATAGGTACACGTCAACTATGACAGACAAAATGAGGGAAAAAAATCCAGAAAATCACATTGTAGGATTTTTAATGAATGTATTTGCAAATTATGGTGGAAAATAAGTCTTTGGTCAATAACAAAAGTTTCTCAATACTTTGTTATATACCCTTTGTTGGCAATGACACAGGTCAAACGTTTTCTGTAAGTCTTCACAAGGTTTTCACACACTGTTGCTGGTATTTTGGCCTATTCCTCCATGCAGATCTCCTCTAGAGCAGTGATATTTTGGGGCTGTCGCTGGGAAACACGGACTTTCAACTCCCTCCAAAGATTTTCTATGGGGTTGAGATCTGGAGACTGGCTAGGCCACTCCAGGACCTTGAAATGCTTTTTACGAAGCCACTCCTTCGTTGCCCGGGCGGTGTGTTTGGGATCATTGTCATGCTGAAAGACCCAGCCACGTTTCATCTTCAATGCCCTTGCTGATGGAAGGAGGTTTTCACTCAAAATCTCACGATACATGGCCCCATTCATTCTTTCCTTTACACGGATCAGTCGTCCTGGTCCCTTTGCAGAAAAACAGCCCCAAAGCATGATGTTTCCACCCCCATGCTTCACAGTAGGTATGGTGTTCTTTGGATGCAACTCAGCACTCTTTGTCCTCCAAACACGACGAATTGAGTTTTTACCCAAAAGTTCTATTTTGGTTTCATCTGACCATATGACATTCTCCCAATCCTCTTCTGGATCATCCAAATGAACTCTAGCAAACTTCAGACGGGCCTGGACATGTACTGGCTTAAGCAGGGGGACACGTCTGGCACTGCAGGATTTGAGTCCCTGGCGGCGTAGTGTGTTACTGATGGTAGGCTTTGGTCCCAGCTCTCTGCAGGTCATTCACTAGGTCCCCCCGTGTAGTTCTGGGATTTTTGCTCACCGTTCTTGTGATCATTTTGACCCCACAGGGTAAGATCTTGCGTGGAGCCCCAGATCGAGGGAGATTATCAGTGGTCTTGTATGTCTTCCATTTCCTAATAATTGCTCCCACAGTTGATTTCTTCAAACCAAGCTGCTTACCTATTGCAGATTCAGTCTTCCCAGCCTGGTGCAGGTCTACAATTTAGTTTCTGGTGTCCTTTGACAGCTCTTTGGTCTTGGCCATAGTGGAGTTTGGAGTGTGACTGTTTGAGGTTGTGGACAGGTGTCTTTTATACTGATAACAAGTTCAAACAGGTGCCATTAATACAGGTAACGAGTGGAGGACAGAGGAGCCTCTTAAAGAAGAAGTTACAGGTCTGTGAGAGCCAGAAATCTTGCTTGTTTGTAGGTGACCAAATACTTATTTTCCACCATAATTTGCAAATAAATTCATTAAAAATCCTATAATGTGATTTTCTGGAGAAAAAAAATCTCAATTTGTCTGTCATAGTTGACGTGTACCTATGATGAAAATTACAGGCCTCTCTCATCTTTTTAAGTGGTGGCTGACTAAATACTTTTTTTCCCCACTGTATAATTTGTTGGAGATCTGTACACTTTACATAGATACCTTCACCCTTGAACTGTCATAGGCGCACTCATGTAAACATAAACACCCTCATGTCAGAGTCTGTTCCACAACGTTGTCCATAGTTATGGAAATACAGTCCACAATGTTTGTTACTTTTTCCTATCTTTACATGGCATTTAAATTAGACCTACTATACATCGGTCCACTGTCTATACAGGGCTTGTTTACTGTTGATATATTATACAGTTACTGCATGCGTAGATGTTATACAGCAAATATCTTTATAGAGCATTTCAGCTGTTAAAATACTTTTTATTTATTTTTATTTCAGACAGAAAATCCTAACATTGAAAGGCCATACACATTCAAGGATTTTCTACTTCACCCGAGAAGGTTGGCATTATTTAATGATTATTCAAGCCGCTTATCCTTCCTGGTGTAACATGGATTTACTTTGTGACATTTTCCTTAACATTTTTATTACATTCAGTCTCTTGGCATTGCATAAATCTATTTGAATAATATCTTGAGTTTGCCTAACGTTCAATACCTTTCTTTCCTGAGGTGTATAAAGTCGCTCTGGATAAGAGAGTCTGCTAAATGACTAAAATGTGAATGTAAAATATTGATTTTACCTTGGAGAAAGCTCAAGTTCATGTTTAAGTCAGTCACAATGATAGATTGTTAGTATGACATTTATTGTGTAACTGATATTTGATACACCTAAGAGGCTCACATTACTCTCATTTAGAAAGTGCACTGTTTTCCATGTATATTTTTGGGGGGTAAGTGTTAACTTTTTTTTTTGATGCAGTCACAAATCCAGGGTCAAAGGTCATCTCCGGCTGAAGATGACCTACCTACCCAAAAACAGTTCAGAGGGTGCTGCAGAACAGACTGAAGACATGGATGTAAGACCGCCACCCACCCAACCTACCCCTGTCCTCCTGCCCTCTGTCCCCCCTGACCCCCTGATATTGAATATTCCCACGCCGTCACCCCCCTCCTCCTTTGATTATACAGTGTCTAATCTACGTGCCTTGGCTGTTGCTCAGCCGGCGTGCTTCAGTATATACATGTAACAGCATATTGGTGCTCAGAGCCAGGAGAAAAGACACCAGGCTCGTTTTACCAGTGTCAAGCCAAGATGGCTGATTGCCTGCGATTTCCCTCCTGATGTAGTTATTGATAAAACCAGCCAGTCATCATTCTTGAACATGCTTAATGTAAGCACTGGCTAGGAACACCATGTCCAAAAGGCAAATCTATATTTGTCTCACCATGGGTCCATGGCCTTTGAGGAATATGCTGACATCTTCCTTAGAATGACTTGAATCCAAGCTTCAGTACAGTATGAGTCCCTATGCTTGCTACTGAATATTCTGAGTAGTGGCCAAGACATTGTTTGACTTGAACAAACATGTAGAGGATTTGGGCAATTTTGACGTCTGCGTGTGCCGTGTTGTGTAACAGCTGTTTTTGTTGTGCAGCCTAGCTGGGAGTTTCTAGAGGGCCAGGACATGTCTGGTCCCAGGCACAATCACCTGCTGCCTGCAATGCCCCCTGGCTGGGAGGAGAGGCAGGACAACCTGGGCAGGACCTACTATGTCAACCACGAGACCAGGACCACACAGTGGCACAGGCCCATAGTACAGTAAGTCTGGGGTTATCCTGTCATGTCCTTATTCTGACAGCTTGAACTTAATCTATTTTAACACATTGGTAGTATTGGAATACGATAACACCCGGTTGGAATACGATAACACCCGGTTGGAATACGATAACACCCGGTTGGTCAAGAGATGAAAAGTTGACTGTGATCTCAGGTTGACAGAGTGTGTGTGTGTTTCCCTGTATAGAGACAGCCAGGTGGAGGCAGAGCAGAGGCAGAACATCCACATGGAGGCCCAGCACGCCTTCACCGCCCGCAGGCAGATCTCCGACCAAGAGGACTCTGACAGACAACAAGAGTCTCCTGAGGTAACTTTCTCAATCGAAATTCAATTCATGTATTGAAAAATTCACATTGAAGTTAAATGACACTTTAAATTCATAAATGTAATTACAATTCTCCTGAATTGGCTATTGGAATGGAGACGAGACTGTTGTATCCTTTTGCGGTCTCTGGTACGATTATGAAACAACCGTACATGGTGTGCGGTCTAATTATACGACCTGTCCTATAAGATATATACAGTGGGCTCCAAAATTACTTGCACCCCTGACTGGCAATGCACAAACAATACTTAAAAAAATATAAACAATATAATTATAGAGAAACTCAAAGTACCAATGTGAGAAATACTGTGCTATATTAATCTTCCAATGGAACCCACCAAAATTATTTATTGATTTAATTAAAAATCAATGTCCTCCAAATCAAGGTTTCACAATTAATGGCACCCTTAAAGATTATTGTAAATAACATCTACCAAAATTAATCCATTAATTAAATTCCACTTATTTAAGTCTTAAGGAACTATATTGAGCCATTACATCACTTCCTGTTTCACTAGGGTATAAAAATGAGGTAACGCATGCAATATCCCTTTGTCGTCCAACACCATGAAGAAAACAAAAGAACTGGCAGTTCAAAAGACATGGTTATGACCTTCATAATCGAATGGCTACAAGAAATCACAAACGATTGAATTACCACCCTTCAGGCAATATTAAACATTTAAAATAATGGAACAGTTGAAACCTCACGGTAGAAGACGCAAATGCATTGCCCCCCAGATAGGGAGGATATGGTAAAGCAACAAAATCCCAAGAATCACTTAAAGAATTGCAGGCCTTGCGTCTAATTTCAAAATGCACCATATCTAGCACCATATAGACGGTACTTTCGAGGTTTCCAAAGAAACCATCTGACCAAGCAGCAAGCACTTGCGTTTCCAAACCGTAAAAAATGAACGGGAAAGAAGGCTTGTCAGTGAGACCAAAATGAATTTGGTCAATGACAGACGGCAGTTCCAGTCGAAACAGAATGACCGTGAGGCACCATACCAACATTTAAAAGAGATGGAACAGTGAAATCTTGGGCCTGGTTTAATCCAAGGCTTGGCCCCCAGTGGTTAGGATTGATGGCATAATGAATTCCACCAAGTATCAGGCAATTTTGGCTGACAATCTGGTTGCCTCTGCCAGAAGGCTGGGACTTGGCCGTAGGTGGACTTTCGAACAACACAATGACCCAACACATCCAGATCCATGCAGAAATGTTTCTGTGACAACAAAATTTACATTTACGTAATTTAGCAGACGCTCTTATGAGTGCATACATTATTATTATTATTTATTAATTTTTTCATTCTGGACCCCTGTGGGAATCGAACCCACAACCCTGGCGTTGCAAACGCCATGCTCTACCAACTGAGCTACATCCCTGCCGGCCATTCCCTCCGCTACCCTGGACGACGCTGGGCCAATTGTGCGCCGCCCCATGGGTTTCCCGGTCGCGGCCAGCTTACGACAGAGCCTGGATTCGAACCAGGATCTCTAGTGGCACAGCTAGCACTGCGATGCAGTGCCTTAGACCACTGCGCCACTCGGGAGGTTAAAATCAATGTTCTGCCATGGCCATCTCAGTCGCCGGACCTCAATCCAATCGAAAAATCTGTGGACTGAGTGAGGGATCTTGAAAGGATCTACATAGAGGAATGGTCCAAAATCCCTCCAAATGTGTTCCTTAACCTTGTCAAACATTACAGGAAAATAATCCATGCTCTTGTCCTTGCCTGAGGTACTAAATGAGGAGTGCCAATAATTATGAAACCTTGATTTTGGTGACATTTATTTTGTATTAAATAATTGTATGATTTTGGTTGGTTCCATTGAAACATTAATAAAGTACAGTATTTTTCACATGTTGGTATTTTGAGTTTATCTCTATAATTATATTGTTTATAATTTTTAAAGTATTGTTTGTGCATTGCCAGTCAGGGGTGCCAGTAATTTTGGAGCCCACTGTAGGCCCAGACCTATTAGGACCATATCTTACGACCATGTGGTCTGGTCCTAGCCCCTCTTTAGAAGCTGCTAGCCGAGCAAATGACTAAATGTCAGGATAGTCCAGAGTGGCCCTTAACAAGTTCAAGTTCAGGATCAGGGTGTTCCTCGAAGTGCAAAAAAAAAAGTTGCCCTACTGAAACCATATCACATGTCAGTTTTGGGTAATAACGTCACTCCATGCCAGAACAAGCAGGCCAGAACTGTTTTCTTAGTTTATAGCCAGATGAGAAAACAATGACGGAACACTATCAAGACATCCTTCAGAACAGATGGAAAACTCTTCATGTGTCTTGTTTCCTGTCTGCTCCAGAGCTGGGAGATCATAACAGAGGATGAGTCCACCTTGTACAACAGCCAGCGCTCCCCCCCTCCACCCCACTCCCCCCTGGAGTTTCACAACTTCTGTGATGAGCTGAGTCGCCTCCAGGCCTCGGGGGTCACATCCAGCAACCGACGCACCTCCCTCCAGGTGAATAATTTACTGGCCAGCGCTGACCGGGCTCCCGTTACCAATTGACCGACACCCAAAGCCAGACTGGGGATACGCTTCCTGAACAGGTTCCTTCCACAGTTCCAGGAAGGGACTGAAACACACGTTATATCTTGTGTTATAACAACACAGCTATAATCAGTCCCAGGTTTCCGCTGTGATTTTTTGTGATATGCAAAAATTGATTTTGCTACATTAATTCTGACATTTTACATGGCAATATGCATGGTTTTATCTGTGTGGCTTGATTGGTTGAAATTGCAAGCCCTCGCATAATATTGTTGATAAAAATGCAATTGCGGAATCCTGGAAGAACTGTAATATATTAGTATTAGATGGGTATTAGTGCCTGTCTAGAGCTGGAGAGTATGTGCCTATTAACACGTGTATCGGTAATGACTGTGGTTTCTGTCTTGCTCTCTTCAGCTGCAGGGCCCTTCCAGTCATTCAAGTCACTCCAGCCGCAGAGGCAGTGCCCAGACTCTGACAGTAGAGGAGCACCCTGTTCATCCTGTGGTGTGTTACATTCTGTGAATCCCCTCCGCCCTCACACAAACACACACCGCAGCACAGGGAAGCACAACACTCCTGTATTACAGCAGTATTTGTGGGATAGGGTCATCTGAGCTTTAGCATGTAAGCGTGGCTTGATGTAAGGACGGTGTGAGAATACGGTCATCAGGTTTGAGCACGTAGCTCAGCGATTCAGAGGGATGTTGTTCTATTCACAGACCTTGAGGTATTGTTGTATGGATTGTTTGATGCCTCCTCTCTCTCTCTCTCTTTCTGTTGTTCAATAGTTGTTAGCAACATCAGCGGGGCTGCCTCCAGGCTGGGAGGAGAAGCAGGATAGTAAGAGCAGACCCTACTACGTCAATCACAACAGCAGGATAACCACTTGGACACGGCCACTCATCCAGGTAGGCTCCATTCCTCCTCTCTCGCTCGCTCTTTCTCTCGCTCTATCTCAAACCACAGTGCACTAAAGAAGTATTCAAAGGGATGTGAAAAGCCCATCAGGACCCACTTAACTTGTGTAGATAGATAATGTTGATGTAGGATCCAGTCCACCCTCCTATTGACCATATCAATAGTGTTATTCTTCATCTCTCCTTCCATGGTCCAGATAACGTCAGAGGCAGCAGCTCAGGCTGTTCTGTCCCAGAGCTCCACGGTGTACCAGCCCCCCATGCTGTCTCCTGAGGGCTCCCCCCAGCACTCCCCCGGCTCACAGAGGGAGTGTGGCTTAATGCCGGCAGGCTGGGAGGTCCGCAGCGCCCCCTAACGGAAAACCCTTCTTCATCGACCACAACACTAAGACCACTTCCTGGGTGAGAGAGCAAGCATCTGCATACCGCCCCTCTTAAAAGGACATATATGTTGTTTTTCTTGATCAGGTCACATGATCATGTCAAATGGTCAAGAAATACCCCCAGGCCCTACCTATAGGGTCTAGTCACGCATCATCATGGCCAGAATGACCAGTTATCCACTGGACAATACTGCCATTCTCACTGCTCCTTCCTGTTTGTGTGACTTATTTCCTGTTTATCTGGCTGTGAACAGGAAGACCCCAGGTTGAAGATTCCTGTGCACATGAGGAGGAGACCTTCGCTAGACCCAACTGACCTCGGGCCAATGCCGGTAAGCGTTACAATGACATCATACCCAATAATAGCATTCTAGGAAGGCAATTAGCAGCCCAATGTGATGAGCCTCTTAAAGTTGAAGATTGCTGAGTGAATGGTTGATTTTAAGGGGGGAATGATGGTGTGAGTAATGTTTGTGCTATCCCTTAGCCTGGCTGGGAGGAGAGGGTCCACAGTGATGGGAGGATATTCTACATAGATCACAGTATGTATGACATGTACTACAATTCGTCAAAATGAGTGAAAAACGCCTCCTACCAATACTGAATAAATCTGATGTATTTTCAGACACGAAGAACACACAATGGGAAGACCCCAGACTGCAGAATTCAGCCATAACTGGACCAGTAAGTACAGATTATATATTTAAAAAGGGGGGGGGGGGGTCAGGTTCTCCAGGTTGTCCATAAAACCGCACAATTGGTCATGTGTTCATAATTTATTTCCGGACATTGGATCTCCCATCCTTGTCTATTCTAGGCGGTGCCTTACTCCAGAGACTATAAACAGAAGTATGAATACTTCCGGAAGAAGCTGAAGAAACCGGTAAGCATGGGTTTTTCCCAAAACAGGGAATCATTGTAATTACTGAAGGCCCTTATGCTCTTAATGTTCTGTAATTACAGCAAACCTCACAAATAGGTCAAATATACAGCACATTCACACTGTAAAAACCTATCTTGTCTTTCTCTCAATCATCCTCACAATATCTTCTATGTCATTTAGTCCAGCGACATCCCCTGACCTGATGTCACCTCAGGAAGTCCACTCACTCAGCATGCTCTATTTCCATTTCCAGGCTGACATCCCCAACCGCTTTGAGATGAAGCTCAGGCGGAACGCCGTGCTGGAGGACTCCTACAGACGTATCCTGTCAATCAAGAGGGCCGACTTCCTGAAGGCGCGGCTATGGGTGGAGTTTGAGGGAGAGAAGGGCCTGGATTACGGGGGCGTGGCCAGGGAGTGGTTCTTCCTCATCTCCAAGGAGATGTTCAACCCCTATTATGGGTTGTTTGAATATTCTGCCACGTGAGTCTATTTGAATGTGTTAGAATTCCATTTTCAGGCACTCAATGGGGCCTTTAGTGAATAACATCTCTGACAGCATTATGAATCATTTTAATGATGGGATATGTTCTGGAATGGATCAGAGAAGGATTTGGACGAGCTGTATTGTTAAGTTTCTCCTCTGCCTGTTCTGTGTCAGTGACAACTATACTCTGCAGATCAACCCCAACTCAGGCCTCTGCAATGAGGACCACCTGTCCTACTTCACGTTCATTGGCCGTGTGGCAGGCATGGCTGTCTACCATGGCAAGCTGCTGGACGGTGAGTCTCGCTGCTAGTGATTTCACTCATAAACTTTGTGTCTGTTTAATAGAGCATTCATTTGTCTAATAGTAGTGTGACATGAGTGTGTGTGTAGAGAAACTAAGAGCTGAGGACAGCTCTAGGCTAGTGCCACAAGGATTAGGTGTGTTATGTGTGTGTTGAACAGATCCTGACGTTATTTTTTTCTAGCCTTCTTCATCAGGCCTTTCTACAAGATGATGTTGCAGAAGCCCATTACTCTACAGGACATGGAGTCTGTGGTAGGTGCCTAATACTACTGTCTAGGTTACGTTCACATCTTCCCATCACCTAATCAGATCATAGAGACATTATACATCAGGCATCTGAAACAGCAGTGTTTCACCATAAGAGGTAATGGTGTTTGTGTTTTGTTATTTCAGGACAGTGAGTACTTCAACTCCCTGAAGTGGATATTGGAGAATGACCCAATAGACCTTGATCTGAGGTTCACCATAGACGAAGAGCTCTTTGGACAGGTGGGACCTGCTTCCAATTTGTTGTTTGACAGAAGTATTTTCTGCTCTTTCTTGTGCCTATTGAGTGAAGGGGTTAAAGTGGATGCTAAGTGGTACTTGGGTATCAGTCATGCTGACATCACATTTCTTCCTATTTAGACACACCAGCATGAGCTGAAGCCAGGAGGATCTGAAATAGTAGTCACCGACGACAACAAGAAGGAATACATCCAGTAAGCACCAGAGCCCTCTGCTGGTAGAAAGAGGAAACACGCCTCATACCCACTGCCATGTAGGGCTGTTCCACTGGTTACCTGTAGGTGACCCACAAGTCACATATTTGGCCTTCGAAGGGTTTGCAAATTGACAGTGAAACCACCACCCACCACCACATAATGTCTGCATCATTAGATAAATTAGAAATGATTAGGGCTTTTGAATGCTTCCATTTCAAAGTAAACATTTTCTTTGTCAGTCTTGTCATGCAGTGGAGGTTCGTGAACAGGATACTGAAGCAGATGACCGCATTCAAGGAGGTAAACACTAGGTTTTAGCGATATGTTTTGATTGAGTTGTGATAAGATTTAAAGAAAAGGTTGACTTATTGCATGTTCCTCTCTCTTGTCTTAGGGATTCTATGAGTTGATACCCCAGGATCTCATCAAGATCTTCGACGAGAATGAGCTGGAGGTGGGTGTCATTCCTATCACTCTGAGATGTATGCATGACTGATACGCTGTCTTTCCAGAGCATTGTGTGATGTTCTATCTGCTTTTTTCTCTTTAGCTACTGATGTGTGGCCTGGGAGATGTGGATGTGAATGACTGGAGGGAGAACACCAAGTACAAGAATGGCTACTGTCCCAACCAGCCTGTCATCCTGTGGTTCTGGAAGGTAAGAGGATACTCTACCACTAGAGCAAAAGCCTCTGGACTCTGTAATGTTTTCGTTAGGGATGCACGATTTACCAGTGACCATATCGGTATCGGCCTGTGATTGGGGCTGAAATGTATCTGCTATTAGCTGCGGAGACAAACTGAGCGGTCTGTAGAAAAACTCTTCCTATGAATTTGGCTTTAGCGGTCAAACGGTTTGAGTTATTAGCTATTATTAGCCCATTCCTGAAAGCGAAGACTCCCAGGAACACGTTGGATATCGGCAAATATCTGATATCGGCCCAGAATTTCCACGTCGGTGCATCCTTCGTTTTTTTGGTGAATTCTCAATATTCATTACAACTACTTGACTGATATTTTGTCTTTCTCAGACTGTTCTGCTGATGGATGCAGAGAAGCGTATCCGCCTGTTGCAGTTTGTGACTGGCACCTCCCGGGTCCCAATGAACGGCTTTGCAGAGCTCTACGGTGAGTCCTCTTCTCTACTTCTCTGTATGAAGACTATTTTGTATAATACAGTGTACAAAGATTGATATGAACTTTGAAACATGGATTCTGAGTTGTGACCAGAGGTGTTTTTGTTTGTATATGATTCTCTCCTCCTAATCTTGTTTTATGTTGTGAAATCACAGGGTCTAATGGACCACAGCTGTTTACCATTGAGCAGTGGGGAACACGAGACAAACTACCTAGAGCCCACACATGGTGAGTAACTAACAATACAGCAGTTTGGCTAATAGTCCTACCGGATTACTGCAACAAATGTTCATTTTAACTATTGTTGTTGATTTGGTTTTGCTTTACCATTTTCAGCTTCAACCGGCTGGACCTGCCTCCCTATGAGTCGTTTGAGGAGCTGAGGGAGAAGCTACACATCGCCATAGAGAATGCACAAGGCTTTGATGGAGTGGATTAGGGGAGTGGCGCAGATGTTAAAATGGCATTTACTGCCAGTGAACTGAGGGCTATTTCCAAGTTTTGTGCCGTAGTTCTGTTTGATGCTGATAAAACACATCATATTCAGGTCCAGACCTGAACTGCCAACAGCCTGAGAGGATGGAGAACAATCACAGAGAGGAAAGTATTTGGTGCTCCTCTCTCCTGCACAGTGGAAGGGATGGATGACGAGTGAAAATCACTTAAGTCATTCTTGGTCTGTGAAGTTTACAAATTGTGTTTTTTGTGTCTCGTAAATATGTATGTATACTTAAACCAGATCTATATACAATTTATCAAATGCATTATAGCATACAGATATTATTGTTCATCTATGATAAACATTCTATCATGAGGAGATTTAAATTGGACTTCGATATACATTACCGTATATACACTGGTGTCGAAAGCGTTCCACAGGGATGCTGGCCCATGTTGACTCCAATGCTTCCCACAGTTGTGTGAAGTTGGCTGGATGTCCTTTGAGTGGTGGACCACGGGAAACTGTTAAGCGTGAAAAACCAAGCAGCGTTGCAGTTCTTGAAACAAGCCGGTGCGCCTGGCACCTACTATCATACCCCGTTCAAAGGCAATTAAATATTTTGTTTTTCCCCATTCACCCTCTGAATGGCACACATACACAATCCATGTCTGAATTGTCTCGAGGCTTAAAAATCCTTCTTTAACCTGTCTCCTCCTCTTCATCTACACTGATTGAAGTGGATTTAACAAGGGACATCAATAGGGGATCATAGCTTTCACATGGATTCACCTGGTCAGTCTGTCATGGAAAGAGCAGGTGTTCCTAATGTTTTGTACAATCAGTGTATGTGTCTGCGGAATGGACAGTGAATACACCTTTGGATAGCTTACTGAGGAAATCATAGAACTGACATTAGACTCCATTGAAAAAACATGTTGCCATTGCCCTCTCATTCTTGCGCACACACACACACACACACACTTGCAAAATATGCGTTTCTTCTGCTGTTTTTTATTCAGTGATGGATGTATAATTTTCTATTCCGCTATTCCAGGGCTCTCAACCCTGTTCCTGGAGAGCTTCCCTCCTGTAGGTTTTTGCCTCCAACCCCAGTTGTAACTAACCTGATTCAGTTTATCAAACAGCTAATTCATATAATCAGGAGCGCTAGACTATGGTTGGACTGAAAACCTACAGGATGGTAGGTCTCCAGAAAGAGGGTTGGAGAGCCCTGCTCTATTCATGGGTGTTAAAGAGCAGTACAGTACTCAATTTTTTGGAGTACATTTATTTTTTGCAAATTGCTCTATGTAATAACTGTTGAATTAATATCAAGAAATTGATGATACTATCGTTCTCAAAGATTTCTGCGAATGTCTTTCTTTTTGCCTTTGATTTTCTTGAGGGAATTGACTGTACATATGCAGTGGTGTGCTCTATCAAAGAATGTATTGTATGAATGGTAGAAAACATATGTTTACACTATCTGGTATGTTTACAGATTGTTGATGAAGGAAAATATGGTATTTTTCATTTCTCTTAAATCAACATTTTATACTTGTGCTTTTATAAGGTAAAGCACTTTGTTAAAATAATTATAAAAGTCTTAGTGTCTTGATTTTGGCCAAACTATCAATTTCAGAATGCATACATTGAGTATGATTTCATGCTAAAAATCCTCTGCTTTTAAGTGACTTGAGTACATTTTACTTGCCATGGAAGAAAAAAGCACAGTCTTTCCTTTCACTGGTAATTTAGACTTAAATTACAATGCCTTCATTTGTAATGCATCATAAATTTGATCATCCAAATCTTTTGAGATGTTCTTATCCTTTAGTTGAATGGATATACTGTTAACATCTGATACTGTATAATTCATTATTTTAAGATAGATACTTAATTTATATATTACAGTGGGGGAAAAAAGTATTTAGTCAGCCACCAATTGTGCAAGTTCTCCCACTTAAAAAGATGAGAGAGGCCTGTAATTTTCATCATAGGTACACGTCAACTATGACAGACAAATTGAGGGAAAAAATTCCAGAAAATCACATTGTAGGATTTCTAATGAATTTATTTGCAAATTATGGTGGAAAATAAGTATTTGGTCACCTATAAACAAGCAAGATTTCTGGCTCTCACAGACCTGTAACTTCTTCTTTAAGAGGCTCCTCTGTCCTCCACTCGTTACCTGTATTAATGGCACCTGTTTGAACTTGTTATCAGTATAAAAGACACCTGTCCACAACCTCAAACAGTCACACTCCAAACTCCACTATGGCCAAGACCAAAGAGCTGTCAAAGGACACCAGAAACAAAATTGTAGACCTGCACCAGGCTGGGAAGACTGAATCTGCAATAGGTAAGCAGCTTGGTTTGAAGAAATCAACTGTGGGAGCAATTATTAGGAAATGGAAGACATACAAGACCACTGATAATCTCCCTCGATCTGGGGCTCCACGCAAGATCTCACCCCGTGGGGTCAAAATGATCACAAGAACGGTGAGCAAAAATCCCAGAACCACACGGGGGGACCTAGTGAATGACCTGCAGAGAGCTGGGACCAAAGTAACAAAGCCTACCATCAGTAACACACTACGCCGCCAGGGACTCAAATCCTGCAGTGCCAGACGTGTCCCCCTGCTTAAGCCAGTACATGTCCAGGCCCGTCTGAAGTTTGCTAGAGTGCATTTGGATGATCCAGAAGAGGATTGGGAGAATGTCATATGGTCAGATGAAACCAAAATAGAACTTTTTGGTAAAAACTCAACTCGTCGTGTTTGGAGGACAAAGAATGCTGAGTTGCATCCAAAGAACACCATGCTTTGGGGCTGTTTTTCTGCAAAGGGACCAGGACGACTGATCCGTGTAAAGGAAAGAATGAATGGGGCCATGTATCGTGAGATTTTGAGTGAAAACCTCCTTCCATCAGCAAGGGCATTGAAGATGAAACGTGGCTGGGTCTTTCAGCATGACAATGATCCCAAACACACCGCCCGGGCAACGAAGGAGTGGCTTCGTAAGAAGCATTTCAAGGTCCTGGAGTGGCCTAGCCAGTCTCCAGATCTCAACCCCATAGAAAATCTTTGGAGGGAGTTGAAAGTCCGTGTTGCCCAGCGACAGCCCCAAAACATCACTGCTCTAGAGGAGATCTGCATGGAGGAATGGGCCAAAATACCAGCAACAGTGTGTGAAAACGTTTGACCTGTGTCATTTCCAACAAAGGGTATATAACAAAGTATTGAGAAACTTTTGTTATTGACCAAATACTTATTTTCCACCATAATTTGCAAATAAATTCATTAAAAATCCTACAATGTGATTTTCTGGATTTTTTTTCCTCATTTTGTCTGTCATAGTTGACGTGTACCTATGATGAAAAGTACAGGCCTCTCTCATCTTTTTAAGTGGGAGAACTTGCACAATTGGTGGCTGACTAAATACTTTTTTTCCCCACTGTATATCAGCATGTCAGAACTGTAACTGCATTTTTTATCAACGATTTAATGAAAACTTCTGTATCTTGTTGAAAACATATTTTGATGTTTTGATTGTATGCCAAAGTAAATGGCGGCATATTTAGAAAAACAAATAAATGGAAAATGCCACCTAATGTTGTATTCTCCTTTCATATTATACTGAACAAAGATATAAACCCAACATGTAAAATGTTGGTCCCATGGTTCATGAGCTGCGCCCCTGCCCAGTCGTGAAATCCATAGATTAAGGCCTAATTTATTAATTTCAATTGACAGATTTCCTTATATGAGCTGTAACTCAGTAAAATCTTTGAAATTGTTGCGTGACGCATTTATATTTTTGTTCAGTATAGTTGTTCGATATCTACCAGCCAGAGGGTAACCTTAATTCTGCACCTTTTGAGGACAGAATTTGCCTATTTTAAGACTTGTTTAATTTCTCAAGACACGCAGCTCTTTACTATTCAGTATGTGCCATGGGATCTTTAAGTCAACTGTGCAATAAGCACTTTTTTTTTAAATTATCCACCTTTAAAAATAGCTTTTTCCCGTCACTGGGATACAGAGATTTTGTTTGACCACAATTAACACTGCCTACATATTGGCTGTGTTCGAGCGCATCAAATCAGTGATGCATTGTTAGTCAATTCGGACTAATTCTAAACCCTAACTTCATGTCCACCTCCCAGTTCAACCCTAACCCTAGCCTCAATCCTAACCCTAGCTTTATGTCCGCACCCTGGCTCAACCATAACCCTAGCTATGACTTTATGTTCAACCCTAATCTTGGTATATCATATTTTTATCCTACTTTTCTCTTTGGACGCGTAAGGTGCTGGAGTTCGGCTCCGCCTAGCTCTCCCTTTGACCCAAAATGCAGGAGCCTGTCCTGTTAGCTCCGGCCCAAATTAACCACTGGCTGTAATGCAGATTCCTTCCAGTGGGTGGCATTGAAACACTTGACGGTTGATCATCACACTTGCACAGTTTACACATTGTTACAATGTTAGGATGCAGTTGTTAGGTGGTGTCACAGAAGCTTGATCATTTTATAGACAGCTCATTGGTCTGATCATACATTAGGCTATTTGTTGATTTGTTGATTCAAATAGTCTTTCAAGCAATCTGTAACTTTCAAGTAACTAACTTTCAAGTTCCCTCTACAAATTTTACAACCTTCACTTGGTAAAGCAGATAACTAGACGTAGATGCCAACTTATTACAAGCTTCTACTTCCCTTCTCTGTTTGTTTGCATCTCAAGTGAGTCAGTGGTGCAAATAATTATGCACGTTATGCATTAAATGTTGAGGTTTAGGCATTAACATAAGCGCTGTGATACACACTACTAGTTCCACAGATGAGAGCGCCAGCTGTTCCGGACGACTGTGTGATCACGCTCTCCATCCACAGATGACTCAATCGCACTCCACACTGCCCTTTCCCATCTGGACAAAAGGAATACCTATGTGAGAATGCTATTCATGCTGACTACAGCTCAGTGTTCAACACCATAGTGA